CTTTCTTTCTTTCTTTCTTTCTTTCTTTCTTTCTTTCTTTCTTTCTTTCTTTCTTTCATTCATTCATTCATTCATTCCATTCATTATATATTACAGTGCATACTCCCAGTCTACAATTGTCAATCAATGAATAAATAATCATAAATGTTAACAGTAAAAAAAAGTAAGTAACATAAGGATGCATAATAATAAACTCTTAAAGATCACAACAATAATCAAAGTAAGATTAAATACAGGAAGCAAAACAATTGGCTCACATGGGGGAAAAGATGAAGGACAGCTATATTTTAAAGCTTTTCTAAAAGTACCAATGGAATGAAGGAAGAGAGGTTCCAATTATTTTTATCCACTTTCCTTTACCACATTCATTGCTGGGCAAATGAGTCACATTTGAGATGTACATTGAAGTGGAAAATTATGTAAATATATTTAAATGGTAAAAAGCAAATTCAAACTAGAGAAGCAGATCAGAGATAGGTGTTTACAGTTGGAAGGGATGTAATCAATAGTTTGTTGGGTAAAAACAGGGAAACCTAAAGTCAAAATTTTCAAATTTGGAAGACAAATATTGTAAAATATTTATATAGCTAAAGATCTTTTAAAACACTTCATCCTTAGTTTTACTTTTCAGAAAATTCTTTTAACAGTAGAAATCAAAGGCATTCAAAAACCCATTCTCCTCAATATTTATGGTTCCATTTGTTAATGTTACCTTTTCATTGCCCTATATTTAAATTCAGTCAGTGAGAAATTTAACAAGCACTTTTTAAAAGTGTTTCACTTGCCACTGAAAACATATGGGGCTAATAAGAAATCAAAACCTGCTTATATGCTACTTTTCTTAACAATGTTTTGGGAGAAATGAAGACAAAAATGGTTTTCTTAGTTTCCTATAGCAATACATTAACCACAACCCAAAAAGGCATGTTTAAGGTCAGAGAAGAAACTATGTTTATATGACTTTGAATCAACCTTGACTTTTAAAGATTGCCTGAACTAATCCCCAGTGTTACAAGAAATCAATTTCAATTGGACATCAGGAGAAATCTCATAACAGTGGCATCTACTGTTTTAGAAGCATATGAACTTTGCTTTACTTGAGGTGCTTAAGCAGAGTATGGATAGCCATATGCCGCAGACGGTATATTAGTGGATTCCTAATTGAACTGGGGATACTAATCATGGATTAATCAACTCTATGGGTCCTTCCAATCCATTCATCATGTAATAACTGTGATTCCTTTGTACCAAACGTTATTGATACATGCTCTACATCTGTGAATTCCACCAATAACTCAAATGCTTGCATCAGCTAGATCAAGCCACTATTTTCTTCTGCCCATGGAAATAACCTTTCCTTGTTTTGTAAAACAGAAATTATATCCTATTACCTATTCTTCTAAAGCAGTTAATCATGTGATTAACTAAGGAAAATAATATTATCTGATCATTGCAGATAAATAACTGAATAACAATTATTTTAAAAAGGAGCAATGCACTTGATTTGACATTTTCTATATATAGATTTCTTTCTGATTCTGTGAATGTGATCTAGCATGAATTCTGGACCCTGAATGACGACTTTCACTGGAATATCTATGTGGATATAATTCTTCTAGGATGACTGGATGATTTACCCTTTACATGTGTGCAGAAAATTCCCACAGTACAGGGTTTATTCAGTCTCATTAGAGAAATATATATGTTTGAAGGTCTGGTACATACCTTAAGCGCTGGACACTGCAGCAGCTCTCATCCAATCTTCTCTTGGTTGGAGAAATTAGTCATATCTTCATAATTTTGATGATATGTAGGGTCAATTCCAAACAGAAGAACCACTTTATGAAAAAATATTCAATTCTCTGATAAAAACATAAGATTGCATCAGATTCCATACTGTGTTTGGACAGAAGCAAATTCTCAGATTGCAACTTCCAAACTCCTCTAAAACTTAGGAGATATTTTTTGGTAGCTCTATGGAATCATTTGCTATTTTATGCATAAGTTACAGGTTCAGGAAACACAAAAATAATAAATATTTTCTATTGATTGCATTATTATTAGAACTGGAACATTTTAAGTGATACAGTTAAGTCAACTGTGCTTAACATTTTTTTTTTGCAAAACCATTAAGGAAATACACCTTATTTGTCAGAAACTCCTTGAGAAAATTGCGATCACATTATTCCAGGATGCTGCAACCATTGTAAATACATGCTGGTTGCCAAGCACCCAAATTTTGTTCACAGGGCCCCTGCAGTGGTTCTAAGTGCAGGGATTTGCCTTTTTGTCACTTTTTTCCAATGCCATTGTATTTGAATGGTTGTTAAAATGGTTGTAAATTGAGTCCCTTTATAGCAACAGGTTGACAAAATTCATTTACTTTAAAAACTAGGGCTAGAATTTCAAGAACACTTTAACATTCTCTGCTTAGGCAAGCTGAATGTATATGGAAAAAGCTGATGAAGGAACCTATTGGGTATTTAGTTTCAAGAGCCATGAGAGTAATGTCTTAAACATTAGAAGGGATGGAGTAAAATGATACCCTAGTAAGAAAAGCGATCGTGTGCAATAGTATTTCCACTAAATTGCTCTCTGTTTACAAGATAGAAAAATAAAGACAAGTTAAAAATACTATGGATAATTATTTGCCAAATATACTATTTCTAAAAACCTACCTAGATGCTGTAATGTTTGTTGTGTTTCCCAATCAATCTATTGGGGGGGGGGGGCTGCCCCTAGAATAAAAAATAAAGTAATATGCTGTGACTTTAGAAAAAGGAGCTCCACAACTGCTTCATTGTTGCTTTTTCCTCTTCCTTGGAAAAGTAACTGACATAAATGATTGTGACAAACAAAAAATAAAACAGAATGGAGCAATATTATTACAGAGGTTGGCAACTGAAGACACATAGCATGGAAAATTACCTAAATTTGCTTTTACAATGGCTGGAAATAGCTACAGTTAAATGTGTTTAAATGGACGCTGGACTAGTGATGGGTTCCTACCAGTTCGGACTGGTTCAGCCGTGGTTTGGCGGCCAGGGTCTCTGAAACCAGCAGCGACCCAAACTGTCATTGCCATTATTTTTTTTAGTTCTGCGCATGTGCAGAACAATTTCTATTGCACTGCGCATGCGCACACAGCGTGCATCAAGCGCACGCATGAGCGAACTGGCAATAGTGCCAACCGGAACCCACCCCTGCCCTGGACAAATTATTGGAGAATATAGAATTTTTTATCAGCAGGTACCAATTCTGATAACTAAATACTGTCTCCTGAATGAAATCAGAATACCAACTACTAGGGAGATTTTTTTAAAATTTATTTCCTAAATATTGTAGGATACAAAATATTGAACTAGTTTAAAGGTAATCAAACATTTTGATCTCAGGACTCCTTTACATTCTTAAAAATTACTGTGATGTCCCAAAATGCTTTGGTTTATGTGGGTTGTATCTATTGATATTTACGTATTAGAAATTAAAACTGAGGGATTTAAAAATATTTATTTATCTGATTTTGCAGATCTACTGGAAGAGCTTCTGGGATCCTCAGGAGTTACCAGAACACATTTTGAGAACTGCTGGGCTAGATAGATCTATGGCTTGATCCAAGAAGGAGCCACTTTTAGTTGTAAATATTTGCTGACAGCCACCCATAGCATCTTACATAGCATTTTCAATATTGAGTTCAATACTATTAAAGAACATTTCATTTCTACTATATAGAATGTTAAAAAAAATCAAAATAAAGGGATGACTCACAAACACCCACAACAGCAAGCTAAGCTTCAAAGGATTCAGGTTCAGTGTGAGATACCCTTTGTATTAATTCTAATGTTGTATTTTTAGGATTTTAAATATAGAATGCTCTATTGCAGTGTTCATTCCAAGTCCACAGATTCAGTTTAGAATGGTACCCATGTTCATAACTGCGATTTATTTACTTTTCCCACTATCATTGAAATCCTATTAATTATTCAGAAATAAATTCTGTCGAAATTAGTAATTTTTTAAAAAAATGAGCAATCTACTGTAAATAAATACCTTGGTTCTGTCCAGATTTCTTCCTAGTCATGCAAATATCTGAGGTAAAGAAATAATAGTGGTGTTTCCATTAGTACCAGAACCAAACACAGGATATTCCAAGTTAAAATAGCTTTTATCCCACCTTTTATCTCCTGTATTAAGTTATAATGTATAACATATACAAGCTAATATAGATATATATAGGTAGCATGGGGATTCTAAATAGGCTTCCCCCCCCCCAAAAAAAAGTGCAAATTAAGCTTTATAAATAATGAAGGCTTGATCACAATTCTGACATACTAGCATATCAATGAATTTGATATGAAAATGTTAATTTAAGAAAGTTAAATTAAAGAAGCTTCAGAGGGAGTGGGGAAGCTGCAGAGAAGTTATCTTTCCTTCATAAATACTATACTTACATCAGGATCCACGCCTATTTCTTTCCAAGCAATACTGGGAGAAAACAAGCAATATGTGATTGGCTTATTAGTGTATATTAGAGAAATGCAATTCATACCATGCCAGACTAAATGTACTTTATTGATTAACACTAAACAACTTACCGTTCTTTTAATGCAAAATGTACTGCTTAGAGAACTCATTAAATTTTAAAGTGAGTCCACATGAAACCCGGTAAAAGCATTAAAGTTTCATTTAACTAAATTAGATTGACTGGAAACTATATCAGACCCACATTAATATGACATTGTAGACTTTCAGTCAAATTGCCTCCTAGACAATCTGCACATTAGGTCATATCAAATAAAATGGAAAACTATACTGTCTTCTGTGAGAATAATGGACTTTGCCATTTCCACCACCCTTCCCTCTTCCTTAACCAAGTATCCTACAGATGTTTTCAGACTGCAACTCTTGGAATTCCCAGTCAGCACAAACAAATGGCATGCCAGTAGTTCTGCAATTCTTCACTCTAAAGTTGGACAAACAACTGACAGTTATTGATATTCTAGCAATGTGTCCATAGGAGTTACAAAACCCAAGACAGAGACAAGCTAGAGGTGCAGAATATAGGCTCATAAAGATACATGTACCCATAAAAAGCTTGGGTGCTACCATTACAAACGTCTGGAAAATTCCAAACTGTAATTTTTAATGAAACTGAAGAGTAATCATAGCAATCAAAATAAAATTGTTGGTCTTAAATGGTTAGCACTTCCCCATTTTGAAATTGGTATGTAATCTAGGGCTCCTCCTGGAAAGATGGCAGTTGTTGTCAGGAAGGTCTTTCCACAAGTTCATTTTGTGGAAAGTTTCACCCTTTTCTTGACTGAGAAGTCCTTCAGATGATCCGTCTCAACCTGGTCATCTCACAATTAGACCATTGTGGAGTCATCGGATATGAGACAGAGGTGGGTTCCTACCAGTTTGGCCCGGTTCAGCCAAGTAGGTAGTAAGTCGGCCTACCACAGCCCCAAACTGCTTCTCTTGGCACCACCATCTTATTTTTTCCTTCTGTGCAGAAGCATTTTTTAGTACTGTGTATGAGCGCATAGTGCACATTAAGCATGCATGTGCGCAAAGCACGACTCTGAGCAAACCAGCAACAGCAGCAGCCGGAACCTACCCCTGATACGAGATGGTTGGCAAATAAATGTAACAATAAATAAAAAACTTTCCACATGGGGCTGCCCTTGAAAGCCACTTAAAACTATAGCTGATTCAAAATATAGCAGTTTAAGCAGTAAGGCTTACTTTTTCTTATGCCCATGTATCACCACTGGTATGGGAGCTGCTCTGCTTGCCAATTAGTTTTCAGTTGAAATTCAAATCATCACCTTAAAATTCTTCATGACAGGCTGGGTACAATATTAAAAGGTGACGGAAAACTTATTTTACTTTCTATAAAAAATCCATGTGTGTGTGTTTGTGCATGCACAAATGAAAGTTAGAATATCAGACAATACAAAATGTGTTATATAATCATAACAAAATCTTAAATATACTAGGGTCTAAATACCCATTGGAATGGATTGATTTTAATCACCTTCTGAAATGCAAGGAGGATAGGAGCAATCACATATTTGGGAACTGTGTATTCCTCATTGTTGATATTATCATTGAAAAAGTCACATTCCTAGTCTAAGCTTCTTCACTTCCCATGGGGGCAGGTCTTTAGCAAGCCCTCTCTTGATATGCAGCCTTGACTGATAGAATCTTACTTGGCAAGGTAGTCTCCAGTATATTGTCTATGGAGATTCTCAGTCATCCAGGTCATAGTTGTCCCAAAGGTACTTTTTCAAGAAGCAACTGGACGTTCTTGTTTTTTTTTCCATCAGGACAAAATTCAGCAATCCATCTGCATTTAAAAGACAAAGGCCACTTTTTTGAAGACAGCAAAGTCTATATTTTGGACAGAGAGGACCACTGCTTTGAAAAAGGTGTCAAAGAGGCCCTCTATGTCAAAATTGAACAATTTATTTACAATTTCAACAACTATTTCCTCAAACTTATGTTAACGTATATAGTGACTTGAAACCAGAAAGAAGCTATAGCTGTACATAACCAAAACATTGGCTCATACAATCTATCATTCCTCACAAGATGAACACAGGAAATTTGGTATTCAACCTTTTAAAAGCATTCTTTGAGGAGGTCAATAAACACAGCAGAATTTAAAATTGATTATCTTCCTCATTCAATCAGATTTTATGCTTCTTAAAACTTGGACCCATTCATTTTCCAAAACACTTTCTCTCTCTCTCTCCCTCTCCCACTCTGTCTCTCTCTCCCTCTCCCCACCCCCAAATATTAAATCTTAGCCTATTTTTAATTTGTGGTAACTTGGATTTTTATTTCATTTTAAATATGGAACTTTTAAAAACCACAGTATTCTAAGTACCTCTAAAGTTATTAAAATCTTTGGGTCACATTGTTTTGTCAATATATGTTTTAATTGTATATTCTGAGAAACAAATGATTCAGGTAAGTTATACTGAAAAATAGAGCCTTTCAAAATCCATAAACTAGGCATTATAAATAATTTAAGATATTATTAAAATATACTTATTTTTTTCTTAACAATTTCTCCACAAGTTACACATAACAGTTATGGAAATAACTTTTAGTAGTTCTGATACTCATATATAAAAATCACATGTACACACATCACTTAAAAACTCTTTTCAGAAGCAGTTTTATTTTGAATTTTTTTCTTTTCTGAAAAATTGCACATCATTTTTTTACAGTACAGTATTATTAGCAACCAAAACTTTACAGAGAAGAAAACCTTTCAAAAACAAAAATGAGTATTTGCATGCTTTTTATTCAGATTCACACACAGAAATTTAAAAATAACAGTGATATATAAATATACACTTAACATAATACCAGATAAAAAGATAAAACTTGAGAATCTCAACAGTTCTTTTGAGTTCTTTCAGCAGCAGAAACCTGTATGGTATTTACTCAATGCAACACAGACCCTCTAAGTTCTGTTCAGATACTACTGTATATTCCCGAGTATCAAGAACTCCCATTGAAATGAGAAGATACTGGCATGGTATATATAATATGTTCCTCACTATAACAAGAGGTGAGACAGAAACAGAGCAGACTCCAACATCAAGATTTCAAAGTGATTAAAGAAAATTTTTTAAAAAATCATCACACCAATCAACATACAAGGATTAGTAATGAATTCCCTGGCACCAAACTGTGTATTCAGCCTATTCTGGAAAAGGTTGTACACCCCACCAGAAAAAATCAATTCACAGCTTGAAAAGTGCTCTTGATCCTACACTGTTTTGCATTTTAGAAAGTACTGGCATCAAGGAAAGCATTTGAACATCTATATTTAGTGCACAAGCTGCAACTATTCCTGAGCAGGATGTGATTTGATGGAAATTAGCCATGCTCTGGCTATTTGACATGTGGTTTATACAAGGCTACCCTTGAAGAAAACCCCAAAACTTGCACTGGTTCAAAATCTGGCATCCAGTCTGTTAATAGCTGCAGGCTTTCAAACTCACTGAAAGAGTTCTAGTTTTGCTAATTGTTTTTCAGGCTTAGGACTTGCTATCTAAGAGATCACTTGTCTCATTATGAACCAACCTAATTGCTAAGAATTGAAGGAGAGTGTCCTTGAGGATGCCCCCACTCAGAGGCAGGTTTGGCAGCAGTCAGGAAAGGCACACTGAAATAGCCCACAGAAATACCCTATATTAGTGGGTTACCACTTTCATATCATAAAAGCCACTGTATGAAATAATTTTGTTCAAGATCAAAGATGATTTGATCCCATTACAACAAAAACACTTTTCCCTAAAAAGACATTTTTATGTTGAGAGACATTCTATTATTATGTTTATCACTTACAGTACGTTAATTAAACTTTTAAGGAATTACAACTTTTCAAATAGATTACTTCTTTTCCATTGCAGTACAACCTTTTCTTTAAGACTTATTTTTCATTACTCTAAAATAATGAAATGCGCTTAATTCCTAAGTATGATTCTCACCTCTTGATTTTTACTGAAGGATTTCTAAAGTGCATTTTAAAATTGCTTTGCATTTTTTTCTTGTTTTGCTAGACACCATTCAGGTGGCTCTTCAGGAAAAAGGGTATTAAAGACTACTGTAATAATAAACAAGTATCCAAAATAATGTAAGTTGTAGTTAATAGTAAAAAGTCTCAATTTCAATTTTCCAATCTCAGTAACATAGTGAAACTTCGGCTCTAGGAAAGTTTCCATCTTATTCATCTTCCCACCCCACCCCCAATGAATTAAAATAATGTAAGCAAGAAAATAATACGTTTAAGGAGATATCAAAGCCAAACAGACCATCTCTGTGGCTATTCACAACCTACATGATACATTACTCCCAAGTGATAATGAGAAATGTAAAGCATTGGCACATACTGTATGGATGGATTCCATATTTCCAACTGGGGGGAAGTAGAGAATTCATATTTTCCCATACTAGAGAAATACAGTCAATTATAATCTGCAGTTTTTTGCCTACTACTATTCTCCAAATTATTAAATTGAAATTGTCCTACTATGGACATAATATGTTAAGACTCAGTTTTATGGAAAAGGCTGTAATGCTAGAAAAGGTGCAGTGAAAGAGAAAAGGATGACCAATAGCAATATGGATGAATTCAGTTATAATGGTAATGAGTGTACCATTGGAAGACCATGATAAGGACAGACCTTCATGAAGAAAATATAAATGGTCACTATGACTCAAAATTTGATGGCATATTATCCACCCACCCACCCACCCACCCTTGAGAAGGGCAAATCTAATGCTTGAAATGATGTGGGTCCAAGAGAGGTTACATCATTTGCACATTTACCATTTTCACACTGTCTATAGGAGGGTAGTTTTAGGGGAGGAAACGAATATAAAAAAACTAAACTAAAACTATCTAAAACTAAACTTAAACCAAACAGTTAACTGTTTATGCAAATATGGATGGATTTTTATAAATTCTGAAAATAAGGAAGATTACATTTGCACACGAATGAATGTTTAATTCTACACAAGACAGGATAGTCCCCACTAATTTTAGTGGAGAAGGAGAAGAAATTCCCTTTGGGCTCTTTTGAATTAAAGCAAAAAAGATCTACATTTTCTTCTTCAGAAGAGACTGCATTTACAAGTATGCTGCTTCTTCACTAAATAATACAATTAGCAAGAATAATACCCACGTATAAAACAATTAAAATTAAAATATTCTTAAAATGCAAGCTTGGCATAACACCTAGTGATGATATCCCGAATACTCTGGATTTCCTCTTACAACGCCCAATGGAAATCACTGGCTGAAATCCAGGTTCTTAACCTGGCATAAATTCAAATTCTTCTGTGGATATTGGTTGCAGCACATTTGTCCTTCAAATCTCCCCAGATCTTTTTTAAATATCAGCTTTCAATATTTCAGGATATTTAAAGTTCCCCCATAGTATTTTGTCCTTCTGACCACAATTGCACTATGTTTCTACCATTCAGAAAAGCTATTTCTAAAAAAAGTGTTGTGTGATCAGTGGTATTTGAATTGCTTTCTTGAAAATACCTTTGACTATAATGATTTCAAGCTCAGTCACTATGCAATTGTATTTAAAGTGGCGTCTTATAATATTTTAAATAAATTCTAATTGGTGGCTGTTTTCTAAATATTGTAAGAATGTATAAAGGTCACTTTGGGGCATACTTCTCTCTCATTGCCTCCTAATTCAGTATACCACTTTTTCTTTTGACAGAAACCCAAAGCAACTAACTTACACAAATATATTATCTAAAACATTACAATTAAAAAAGCTGTAGCTGATTTATATTGCACATGGAAGTGTATCTCTTAATCAATATTTGAAAAAAAAGAAAACCTCATTTTTTTCTGATAATTTCTTATGCCTTCTTAAGACATTTTATTTAAAATTACAGATCATTTTTTTTAATATGAATGCCCTCTTTTTCCTATGCCACTGAACAACTTTTCTTTCCGTAACTTTCTTAAGCAAAGTGGAAAATTTGGACATATTACAGAAAGAAACAATTAAACTACACATTACTAAAGCAATGTAAAACTATTGTCCACAGTAATCCCCAAGGGCAAACTAGATGTTTGGAAATTGCACGTACCAATCAATAACTGGAAAACACTTCTGTCTGCTTATTTTTTGGACAATGGTTCTTGCTCACAAATAATTTGTAATGTTTCTGCCATGGACTTAAACCAGTGTTTCTCAACCTTGGCACTTTACGTTTTGCAGATTTCAACTCCCAGAAGTCCTCAAAAATGTTAAGAAATACTGACTTGAACAAAGAGAAACCAAGCAAGAATTTTGGTTTCCACATTATAGTTTGTCTTTATTTTTTGTCCATGCTGATGAATAATTATCATTAAGTAGCTAATTAGTCTGCTAATGCTCTTCACATGCTTTTAGCAGACTAAAAAGAATCATTTGCTTCAACGTAGAAATTCTGCAATGGAGTATATAGTGCTTCAAGTAATTAATGTTTTTTTAAAAAAAAATTTAGATGATAAAATTAATCTGAATGGAATTATTAGTCTCTGATAAACCAGTAAATCATTTCAAGTGAAAGTTATAACTAGGACTCAGATTATTAGCATGCTTCAGCAAGAAGCAATAATACATTGTATGCAAATCAAATTTCTGAGCAAAATCTATGTGTGAAAGTGGGAAGAATAAAATCAACAGCTCTAATGATAGCTAGCACCAACTCACCGCCATAAACCTTTATCTGTAATTGAACTATAAATAGAGGACATCACATGGTCCAAAGATCAAATGTATTTTTACTGTTCACTACAATCTCACTCTGCTTTGC